GGGAGATGAAAGTAGCTACTTAGAGTCAATCAAAGTTTGCTAATTAATTGTCGGAACGCTCGAATTCCTTTACTATACTATCCGAAAAAAGGACAAGATCTACGAGCCATTCTTGGTCAACGCAACCCCGCAAACCGACGATCAACTTTTCATTTTTCCATGATTCAGCAGAGTTTTTTTTCTGAAGACTGAATAAAATTTAAGAATATTTCTCAAAAGTTCGCTAGAAAAGATTTTTCTCTTGTTCGAAAAGACGTGATTTTTCCGTGTTTTCATGGTTTTGATCCGAGCAGCAGCCTTCCTTCTAAATGTTTCCTCATATAGTTGCATAGCTTTGGAACGCTTGCTCTATCATCTTTATATTAGAAATCGTCTAAGTTTCATAGGTCAAAAAAAGTTCAGAAACACGAGGAAAAGAACTGCAAGACTTCCAACAATCAATTTTGCAGTCAAGCGGAAATTTTTCAACACGCGTACCTCGAAAAATCAAAGACTTTTGAATTTTTCTATTCGAAAAGATTCTAATAACTTTCTTTTTCATTTTTTTGAAGGCTAATTTGTTTTTTCTTTCAAAAATGAAAAAAATATAAAACACAAAATTGGTGGCATGAAACCAGCGAAAATTTAAACGGCGACTTTTCGGATTTTTAATATCGCTAGGGAACTTTCCGACGACCACCTTTCCGACGAAATTTTTCCGACTTTTTTCTCGATAAAATCTTTTTAGGTATTCATATGTAAAGTAGGCAAGTCATTCATGATTAAAACACAAAGAAATAGGAAAAATAATGTTAATACATGTTTTATAAACCGAAAAATATTGAGGGAAAAAATCGGAAAAGGGATTCGGCGAAAAAGGTGGCCGTCGGAAAGTTCCCTAACGGTACGAAAAATCGGAAAAATCACCGTTTAAATTTTCGCTGTTTTTTTCTTTCATACTACCACAAAAATTTATAAACCTCCACTTCATTATAGTTGCTCTAAGAAATTTAAATATAAGAATTTCTTCGTCATTTTTCTCTGAAATTTTTTTCTGCTATCATGTATCAAACATGACTCAAGACGAGAAAGCATTTATTTGCGCGGTAAAACATTGGTTTGCCAGAAAAATCATGACAGAATAAAACTTGCCGAGATGAGAAGAGTGGTTAAAATTGAATTAAAACGAATATCAAAAAGCTAATCATGCCATAACTAGAATATTTCTTTGATACAGAAAAATTATGTCAAGACCACTGTATAAGATGTGGGAGAAACGAGAATGTACAGAATTTATAAAAAAATTGCAAGAAATAATGGGAACTAGAAGAAATGAAACAAATTGGCAAGATTTCTGACAAAAATAGAGACAATGATGCTTAAGAAACTTCTCGAAATAAGTAGCTAAAAAAATATTGAAATTGACTCAAAATGAAAATCATGATCTGGGAAGTTTGTGGCCAGTTGATTGAGGGAGCGCGGATGATTGTTTGACGACTTTGATGGGCAACTGTCTATCGACTATGATTCAAACACTGCTAGCCATCTATATTTTTATATCGATTAAATTGGAAAAGAAAAATTTCAGTCTTGGTGACGTGCACTTTGTTGGAAAAGTTCTGAGTCTTTAGAGTGTTTTTGTGCAAATTAATAGAAATTTAGTGGTTTCAGGTCACAAAAATAAACAGTTAAAAAAATCGATCAGATGTTTGAACACTCTGATTTGAATAAAACAAAATTTTTATCTCTTTTTTGCATTTTACTCGGGTTTTAACGTTTCTTATTAGTGTTCAAAAACAACCTTTGTCAACAAGGATTTATGAAACTATCGGTTTTTTTCCCTATCAAATTTCGGATTTTTGCTCATTATTGTGAGATTTCCAGAAAAAAACTGACCCCTAAAGGTTTCACCACCGTTACCACCGTTTTCCACTCCGCGATAATTATTTTTTCTTTGAAAAGGGTGCGGTGTTCCTTTTCGAATCAGAGCAGTTAACCTAAGCGGCGGTTTATTTTTTTGAAAAACCTATTGCATTCATGGGGTACTAATTCAAGAAACTGACTTCTTGGAAGCGTGGGCCGTGTTGAATTCTCGACCCAGAATTTAGTTTGCTCTCATTTTCAGGAAACTTAAGCGAAGGCCGAACCGAATATGATCTTTGAAATACGTTGATGGTTTCCTGAAAAAGAATTTAACTCCGAAATGTGCCATGAATAACTGACTGCTGCGATCTCTTGGAGTGTGCGGATAGGCTTTGGCTTGTCGCAATCGCCAGTTTTGTTCGTCTGAAAAAAGAGCTGTTTAGCGATAAATTTCTTGTATAAAAGAATCACCGGGTTGTCAGTCTATTCATTAATCATGGAAAAAATCACCTTTGTCATGTATTAATTTTGAAGTGACGATTGGGGTAAAATCAAAGTCAGGGAACTCTTATATTGGGATACCTGATTATCAGCATTTTCAAATAATCATTCAAAAACGCAGAAGTTTACTTTTGCCTCTTTATAATTTTTTTAGGAAGCAAAAACTCTATTCTTCTAAACATTTCACGATTTCATCATCAGATCCAAAAGTCTTTTAATGGTCAGATTCGAAAAACACTGAGTCCTTCCGCCAATATCCGTTCAAACACTTCAGGAGAGAACTCACATCAGCAATGGCCAGAAGAGCTTTGGAGTCCTGGACGATCTGCTGTGGAGGCAAGTCAACTTCTTTTTTTGTAATGATCGCGTCGCCGCCGCATCGGAAATCTCCATGCTCTGAATTTTACCGATTAATCTTTGTTGCTGACTGTCTAAATAAGGAAAAAAGTTTTTAATTGTCTCATTCTCCGATAAAAATAAACTTTTTAAATATTAAGTGGTAGAAAGTTGACGTAAAAAGTTGAAAACACTGAGTTTTTCCCGCAAATCTCTGTTGATACCCTTCGGAAGAAAAACTTACATCAACATTGGCCAGACGAACCCCAGAGTCCTTTGCAATTGGCTCTAGAGACATGTCAGCGACTTTGTGAGAGAATTGAGTCGCGTCCTTGTTCTGATAATTTGAATTTTTTTAGTGTTTATTGATCAGCTTGAAAAATTTACCTCTTTGCTGCTCAGAGCAACGTTTTGATGTCCTCCAGTCTTCCCACCCAGTTTCTCGACATCACCAGTTATCTGAACTTGGATTTTCTTTCGTGTACTTCCTCAAAACTGACCATATGGGAATGCAAAGAGCAGGGGCACTTGTTAAAAACTTGCTGATGATTTTTTTAAAAAGAAATTGTGGGGGAAGGTAGCCATTTAAAAATATGATATAACTGCACAGAAACCGAAATTCAGTCCGGATTTGAAACCTTCTTTTCTCATCTAAGTTAAATTTTCTTTTGTTTTTTTGCTTTTTCTTTTTCTTAAAATCTTTCTACGAAGGAAGTCTCTTTTTATAGACTGGGAAATGGAGACAAATATTAACTCAAAACTAACCTCTAAAAACATTTTCAAAAACGCAGCTTTTTGAGCTTCCGTGTGCACTTTGCCCACCTGAATATACATCATTAAAATCCGTAAAAATTCATAAGGAAACATCTAAAGTGGTTTTAAACCGAATAAACAAAACTAAACGGCCTAATCAAAAACTTACTTCATCGAATAGTTCGGGCAGGGGAACTTCTCTCAAAGGATCGACCTGAAATACATTCTAATTCCGACAAAAGGGACAAAAACTCACATCACGGCGATGGTTTTTCAGATCTTCACGAAGTTTGTCCAGGCGTTCATGAGCTTTGGTCAAAGAATTCTCTTTGGAAATGACCGCCCTGGACACAACTTTTAGACGATGTTTCTGGCCCGTCGTCAATTCTTCAAGGAGCAAGCTGCCAGAAAGGTTGCACTCCTCGATCGACTTAGATGCAGCCTCGATTAGAGAAATTTTGTGTAGCTCCAAGTCTACTAGCGTTGAAAAATGACGTCCACAATCGGTTTCCTGAAATTTGAGGTTCATGCTGTTGGTCTCTCTCAAGTGAGACGATCAAGTCATGAACGTTTTCAGAAAATATTTCAAGACTTTGTTTTCAGCATTTTTTTTGTCCAAAAACATTTAATGTTTTTGGGAATTTGCTCGAATTATTCAAAATAAATATAAGCCATCATGAACTGATTGGAAAAACAATGAACTTTTCAAAAAGTAAACCGAGGAGATCGATCATTTTCAAGATGAATTCTCCGAACTTATAAAAACGAATTGCCTGAGTTGAAAAAATCTACAAACCTGCGTCCGATGGTGGAACAACTGGTGGAAGTTTCTCCTCGCGTGTCCATACCACTGGCGCGCGACATCATAAGCACATTTGAGCCTTTTGATCTCAAACTGATATTTCAGGTTGTCGGACAAAAGGAAAAGAAGTTTTTTCTTTTCCATCTTTGCCAACAGCGTCCTAGCAATATCAGCAACGTTATTCGAGTATATCTTAAATTCTTCTTCGGAACTGATTGATTGTAAAATTGCCATTTTTGAGATTATCTGCAAAAAACGCAAATAAACCGGCTCGAAGATTGAAACGACAACATTCGGAGAGTAACGAAAATTAAATTGCTTTCTCCAGCGGCTCGAAGAATTAACTTAACTACCTTAAGACTCAAAAAATCACTCGGCTCACTTGTTTTGACTATTAAATATTCAAAGACTAGCCATTCATAAAGTCAATTACTTTGTTCTCTATGGCAATATTCAAAAAGCGTTTTCGTTCACGAAACTGTACAAAAACCTGATGAATTTTAAAATAATTACATTTTTCAAAAGCCAAAAAAATGTCCTATCATACTTGATGAGAAATTTGGAAAAAAACTATGAAAAAAAGAAAAAAAGCTCAAGAAAAGAACGATGACGGCCAAGTGAGGTGCGAACAGAGACGAGTTTTGACGGGAACAAATGGTGTTCGGCAGAAAGCGCGCCCTTTTCGCAAACCTCTCGCCTCACATGTTTTTGCGGGCTCAGGACTTGGAGAAAAAAATAGAAGGTCAGAAAAAAGGCGCACCGTGCCAAAAACACGTCAGAAATGACGTTCCTTAAACTTTTAAGTTTTTCAGGACGATTGAATGATAAAGATTATATATATTTTCTATTTTGAATTTGTTCAAACATTCTAATGATTAGCTAAGTCATGGCGAGTTGCTTCAAAAACCCCCCATT